TGGGAGAGGTACAACTCAGGTTTGAATTCCAGCCACAGTAAGGCAAGTGAAGATCTAGAAGATTCTTCCATAAAGGAGATGACCAGCCCAACTGATAAGTTGAGGCACTGAGATTGGCATCTGAGTCCTCCCTGATCACCCTGCCCTGAAGCCACAGTTAGGAGAGCCCTGCCCACCGGTTCCAAACTCCAGCCAGTCACTTGGGTCCTGACTCTTAACTTTGGAATCCAGGTAGGACTTTGAGTGGACTGCCAAAAATCATCAGACATTTAAGGAATCTTCTAATATGAAAGGCAGGGATCAAAACAAAGAGAAAAAGGAATTCAGAGGAAACAGACCATGCAGAGAGTAAAAGAAAACTAAACAACAAACAAAAAACGGTGATTAATATCTTTGGAGAGTTAGGAGAAGCTGTTACGTCCATACTGTGTCCACATCCAGACATAAGAAAGGGCTGTAGGAAATTAAAGAACAGATTGTGGAAATAAAAATTACAGTGGAAAGGTTGGAAGTGGCCTGGTATGGTGGCTTATGCCTGTAATCCCAGCACTTTGGGAGGCTGAGGAGGGCAGATCTCCTGAGGTCAGAAGTTTGAGACCAGCCTGGCCAACATGGTGAATCCCCGTCTACTAAAAATACAGAAACTAGCTGGGCATGGTGGTATGCACCTGTAATCCCAGCTACTCGGGAGGCTGAGGCAGGAGAATAGCTTGAATCCAGGAGGCAGAGGCTGCAGTGAGCCAAGATCGTGCCACTACATTCCAGCCTGGGCAACAGAGCGAGACTCCATCTCAAAAAAAAAAAAAAGAAAGATTGAAAGCTGAAGTAAAAAATTATTTGGTGGGACAAAGAAATGGAACATGGGAGAGAAAATAAAACAATAAAGGTAAAATCGAGAGGTTCACATGTGAATCATAGGAATTCCAGAAGTAGATAAGAAAGTGGAGGGGAGAGACAATGAAATAAATTATACGAGAACATTTCTAGGGATTTGAGAACTTGCATTTCCAGACTGACTCACCAAGTCTCTTGCCCAAGGACTGATGTGGAAAGGTGCATTGTGAGAAGATCCTGGGAGCTTCCAGATGGGAATAAAAAGGACAAATACAAGGATACAGGATTCAGAATAGCCTTGGACTTCCCAATGGCAATTCCAGAAAGTGGAAGACAATAGTATACTTTCAAAAATTACTTTAAAAGATTGAACATTATTTCCAACTTAGAATTCTATATCCAGCTAAACTCTCTATCCAGTGTGAGGGCAGAAGAAAGACATTGTCAGATCAGCAAAGGCTTCAAAACCAAGCCTTTCGTGCACTCTTTCTAAGCAAGGTACTGAGAGATGCATTCAAGCAAAACAGGAGAGACATGGGATGTAGGAGCAGGGGCAAGAAAAGGGAAATCTCCAAGATATGGTGAAGGAAGGTCCCTGGAGAAAAGCTGTGCACAGGCTTAGAGATAAGCAGCATGGATCGGGGGGATGATGGCTAGGAGATGCTTCTAAGAAGAAACAAATGGATGGGAACCTGATTAGATGATTGTGTAGAAGAGATTTCCATTCCCCTCTGGGAACGGGCATCAGGAGTAGGGAGGGCTGGGATTGGAGCAGGGGGTTACCCTCTTTCAAGTTTAGTAATCCTGTTCATAGTTTTATGTGCAGTTTTATGTATAGTCAGTAGCACTGACTGATAGTTTTATGTGCCATCTAGACTATGGCCCCCAGTTATTCAATCAAACACTAATCTGGGGGTTGCTGTGAAGGTATTTTGTAGATGTAATTAAAATCCAAAATCAATTAACTTTAAGTAAGGGAGCTTATCCTAAATGATCTGGGTTGGCCTGGTTCAATCAGTTGAAAGGCCTTCAGAGTGGGGCTGCAGCTTCCCTGAAGGAGAAGAAATTCTGCCTGTGGAAAGTGGCTTCAGCCACTGAGAGTCCCAGCTTGCCCTTCCTGATGGGCTGCCCTACAGATTTTGGACTTGCTTAGACAGTCTTATGATTTTATAAACCAATACATCTCTTGATACGTACCTCCTATCAGTCTGCTTTTCTGGTTGAATCCAGACTGATACAAGAACTACTTGAATTTTTCAACCACCTACATGGATTATTTTGGTAACACTATACAATGAAGTAAAAATGAGTAAATATATATATATTTTGAGATGGAGTTTCACTCTTGTTGCCCAGGCTGGAGTGCAGTGGTGTGATCTCGGCTCACTGCAACCTCCGCCTTCCGGGTTCAGCCGAACCTCCTGCTTCAGCCTCCTGAGTAGCTGGGATTACAGGGGCCCGCCATCATGCTTGGCTAATTTTTTTTTTTTTTGTATTTTTAGTAAAGATGGGGTTTTACCATGTTGGCCAGGCTGGTCTTGAAGTCCTGACTTTAGATGATCCAATCGCTTCGGCCTTCCAAAGTGCTGGGATTACAGGTGTGAGCCACCATGCCCAGCCAGAGTAAATAAAATTTTAACCTCTCATAAAAAGAAGGAAAAAAAAAAAGAATTAGAAAAAGGACTAGAAGGAACCATACCAAAATGTTTTTAACAGTTACCTAAGGGTGGTAAAACTATGGGGAATACAGTAGCAGTCCCCATTAACTAACCTCTTGTCCTCCTTTCCCTCAAGGGCAGTTTGCCATGAGACTTTTTTACTTTGGCTCCCAGACTGTCCCTTTGATGAGTTAAAGCCTGTAAATAAATTAAAAGTAGGATTATCTAGAATATAAGTTTGGAATATAAGAGTATAACAAATTCAGCAATATATTTAGTTGTTTACTAGGGTATTGCTCACAGTTGTTGGTTGTTAACAGCAGAAATCACTCTAGCCAACATGTAGTAGGAAAGGAATGTATTGAGGGAACTATGTCATTCACCAAATCTCTAGGAGGGTCAAGAATCAGGCTTGGATACGAGGGTTTCAGGAATATCACTCAACTCACATCCCAGAGCGGCCCCGGTGGCCATCTGCTGATCCCCACAGGGCTCAGGTGTTGCAGCTGTCCCAGGGTGGAGGTTCCTGCCGCCCCATATATCAGACTAGATTTCACACAGTACCTGCTTCATCATGTTGCTACCTTTTCGACCAAGATTTCATGAGGGTGCATCTAATTGGTGGAGCCCAAGTCATCTGCCTGCACTCCAGTTGCAAGGGATGCTGGGAAAGACAGTTTCTGGCTTTTTGCCTTGAGATGAGGTGTAGAGTCATTAGCCAAAGATTGCCAAAAACTCTTTGGGAATTTGTGCCTGGACAACCCAGCCCCAATACCCAGCTGTTTTGATAAAAGCCAGGACCACATTCATTGGCCTCATGAAAAGAGAGAGTCCAATGGCCATCACCTGGGTCACCAGGACAACTATTAGGTGTGGTGATGCTGCCACTCTTGCTGGGACCCACTGAATGAACTGCTGCCCCTTCCTTGCCTGATGGCAGTAAGCGCAGAGCTTCTCAGGGTCACTGGCTTCTAGTACCTCTCTCCTTGTTCTCTTCAGGGTGTGATGTGTCAGGGTGGCCTGTGCTCTGCCTGCAGTGACAATTTGATCTCCTGTGGGCCAGGGACCTTCTTCTCCTTCCCACAGAATCTGAGGAGGAGGAAAACTGCACCAAAGCTTATTTGGGGCTTTTTCCTACTCAGTGGATCAGTCTCCTCTCTCTAAAGGTCATTGTTTTTAATACAGGAGAAAGGATTACCTAGGCAAAGATGCAGATTTTTTGTTTACATCTTTATTGAGGTAACATATTTAATAAAATGAAACAAATCACAAATGTATACTTCAGTGAATTTTTACATATGTAAACACTCAGCTTAAGAAAGAATATTTCCAACACTCCAGAATATTCTGTTGTACCCCCTCCCAGTCATTACCCAACAAGAGAACCACTTCTAACACCATGAATTGATTTTGCCAGTTCTTGAACTTCATCAAAATGGAATCCAACAGTGAGAGCTCTTTTGTGAGTACTCTAACATTAATGATGCACAGGATTTTAATGTTCTTGTTTGTCCTTTTCCTCAGCATTCTAAAATGAACAAATACAACTGTAATTTTCAAAACAATAATAGCGGCTGGGCGCAGTGGCTCATGCCTGCAATCCCAGCACTTCGGAAGGCTGAGGTGGGTGGATCACCTGAGGTCAGGAGTTTGAGACCAGCCTGCCCAACCTGGTGAAACCCCGTCTCTACTAAAAATAACAAAAAGTAGCTGGGCGTGGTGGCGGGCACCTGTAATCCCAGCGACTTGGGGTCTGAGGCAGGAGAATCACTTGAACCCAGGATGCAGAGGTTGCAGTGAGCTGAGATCACACCATTGCACTCCAGCCAGGGCAAGAGTGAAACTCCATCTCAAAATAATGATAATAATAAATAATAGCAACACTTGCCATTTACACAATATTTTCAGAAAATATATGGTATTTTAAAATCAGGGAACTATATAAAATAGTTTATAATCACATATATATATAATCATGTGGTGCTATATAATGACATTTTGGTCAACAATGAAACACATATAAACTGTGGTCCCATAAGATTATAATACTGTATTTTTACGGTACCATTTCTGTGTTTAGCTATGTTTTAAAAAATACTTGTGTTATAATTGCCCACAGTATTCAGCACAGTACATGCTGCACATGTTTGTAGTCTAGGAGTGATAGGCTATCCCATGTAGCCTAGGTATATAGTAGGCTATGACATCCAGGCTTGTGTCAGTGAACTCTGTGATGTTCACACCGCAATGAAACAGCCTAAGGATGCATTTCTCAGAACATATCCCAGTTGTTCAACGATGTGTGTCTATACAGTGGGGCCACAACTAAGATGTATGTTGTTCCAAACTGGCTCTGACCTTCTCTTGGGCCCCCCAAACACGGGTTGTCTGCAATCTTGACCAAAGGCTGCCAGGGCATGCACTCTGCTGCAGGGGCCAGTAGGAGGCCCCAGCTCAGGTGAAGTCACAGGCAGATATTTCAGGAGTCTGCTGGGGCTGGCCCTGAGGGCAGAGACAGAGGGCCTCCCTGGCTGCAGAAATTCCAGACTGAACCTTTATACTGAGTAAGGGAGGAGCTGTGTGTGGGCTGGAGCCGGCAGGATGAGGAAGGGCGTGGAAGTTTTATCAGCCTCTGGTGTGGCCTTGAGATGGTAGTTATAATCTTGGCCCTGGTGTCCCAGGCCCACAGTCATCCTGGGAGTCCCTGTTAGAGTGAAGCAGGTACAGTCACAGCTGTGGGGACAGCATGCTGGCCAAAGGTCTTCCCCCACGCTCAGTCCTGGTCAAAGGCTGCCAAACCTTTCTGAGTGCCCTCAGGGAGGGGCTGGGGCGTCCCAGGGTGCCCACCGCCAAGGTAGCTGGACTCTCCACTCGCAGTCCTCGCCCCTTTAATGAGATCCCCTCTCCTGGTGACAATGGCTGGCTAAACCTGTACCATTTCTGGAAAGAGTTGGGCACACACAAAATCCACCTTCACCAAGTCCAGAATTTCCAGAAGTATGGCCCCATTTACAGGTAAGTCTGGCAGAGGGTGGGAGCTGATGGGACAGGGAGGAGGAGGGGCCCAGACAGCCCCGCTGAGCTCCCCACTCCCCAAATAGGCTGTTCTCCGCTTTCAAACTCCTGTCCAACTTCTCTCTTTTTTTTTTATTGGTAATACAATACAGAAATATATCGGGGATATTTCAAAATTCAACATTTCAATCTGTGAATGTCTTAATCAAGTACCCTAAACCAGGCATCCACTTTTGAAACAATTGGTGGCAAGACCACCAGCCATCTGCAGGGAAGATCTTTAACGGGTCCAAACCCTAGATCTAGCACGGCGCGGGGGCTCACACCCGTAATCCCGGCACGTCGGGAGGCCGAGGCAGGCGGATCACTTGAGGTTAGGGGTTCGGGACCAGCGTGGCCAACATGCTGAAACCCTGTCTTTACTAAAAATACAGAAATTAGCCGGGAGTGGTGGCGGACGCCTGTAATCCCAGCTACTCGGGAGGCTGAGGCAGGAGGCTCGCTTGAACCCGGGAGACGGAGGTTGCAGTGACCAAGATCGCGCCATTGCACTCCAGCCTGGGCAACAGAGCGCGACTCAGTCTCAAACAAAACAAAACAACTCCTTGGTCTGGGGAAGGGCCACTGCTACGTTTCGAACTCCTGGCCCTGGAGCTGTCAGCCCAGGCAGCGAGTTTTAAAAACGGGGGGAGGGCGAGTGATTTGCAGTTCAGAGCACAGAGTGAAAAGGTCGCAGCGTGGTCAAGTTTGGCGCCAGCGACAACCCCAGCTTTCCTCCCAGCGCGCGCCGCCGCCGCCGGAGCCGGGGCCGGGCGATTCCGGCCTTGGGTCCGCCCTGGCGTCGCCCCCGGCCCGCTCCTGCGCTCTGCGCTAGCCGCTCATCTCCGCCTCACCTCGGTGGCCGCCCCAGCCCATCCGCCCCCGGGTGGGCCAGCGTTTACCTCAGGGCGAGCTCGAGGCGCTCGGTCCCTGCCGGTTCCTAGGTCCCCGTCACTCTGCCGCCAAGTTCCCCTGCACGGACTCCGTGCGCTTTGAGGTGTTACCGGGGCGCTGGGACGCTAGCTCCGCGGTTCCTGCCAGGAGGCAGCGGCAGAGCAGGGAGCGTTTCTCCGGCCGGACTGCGCCGGTGCTGCATCCCTGGCCCACCTCGGCTGGCTTCGGCTGGCCTCCGCCCTTGCTCGCGGCGCTCACTCGAGCTCACCCGAGCCTACCCGAGCTTACCCGAGCCCACTCGAGCTGACCCAAGCCTACCCGAGCTCACCCGAGCCTATCCGAGCTCACCCGAGCCCACCCGAGCTCACCCGAGCCCACCCAAGCTGACCCAAGCCCACCCGAGCTCACCCGAGCCTACCCGAGCTCTCCCGAGCCCACTCGAGCTGACCCAAACCCACCCGAGCTGACCCGAGCTGACCCGAGCCCGCCCGCGCCAACAGTGGGGCACTACCGTGACGACTGGGGCGGCCTGCCCTCTCCTGTCCAACATCTGATCTTACTTCTCAGGCCTGGGATGGTGGCAGGTAAAAGGGAAAGTATTCCCGGTTCCCAGGCCTGAGGCCTGAACCTTCCGCAGATCCCACTCCCTCTGAAACTCTGAGAGAGAGGTGATTACTAAGTGCCTGCCTACATCCGTGATCCTCCGACACCTTGCAAGCGTTTGTTATCCCCAAGGTCAGAGGAGACTGAGGCTCAGAGAGGTCACCCAGCGAGATTCCCGTCCTGCTGGGGAGCTGACCTTGCCCTCGGCCCTGGGGCTCTGGAGCCCCTGAGTTTGTCCCTGCCCTTTCCCAAGAATCTGCCTGGCTTCCTGCTAGGAGGGAAGGCCCTTTTTTGGTCTTTGGGTCTCTAAGCCCCCAGGGCCTGTGGCTTTTTTTTTTTTTTTTTTCTTTTCCTTTTTTGGCGTCTTGCTCTGTCGCCCAGGCTGGAGTGCAGTGGCGCGATTTCGGCTCACCGCAACCTCTGCCTCCCGAGTTCAAGCGATTCTCCTGCCTCAGTCTCCTGACTAGCTGGGAATACAGGCGTGCGCCACCAGGCCCAGCTAAATTTTTTTGTATTTTTAGTAGAGACGGAGTTTCACCATGTTGGCTAGGCTGGTCTTGAACTCCTGACCTCCTGATCCACCCTCCTTGGCCTCCCAAAGTGCTGGGATTACAGGCATGAACCACTGCGCCTGGCGGGCCTGTGGCTTTTTCCTGGAAAAACTGCTAAAGCTGGTTTCCACGGTGGGGAACCTTCAAGCCACCCCTGAGTTCTTTGCTAAGAGTCTGGTTGAGAGGGAAGGGAGGTGGTGTAGTGGTTTGGGGCTGGGAGGGGAGACCAGGAGGGATAGTGCATTTTCGTTTAAATGAAAGGTCTTTACAACTCAGAGCATTCTAATGGGTCAGTCACGAAGGGGACAGAGGGGTATAATGAGTTGGCGGGTTTGATGGCTGGGCTGGGGTGGGAGGGAGGACAGGCTAGTTTGTGTTGGGGCTTCAGCTGCTCCCTCCCTCCCTGCCTCCCTCCCTCCCTCTGTCATAACTCCTTTAAAGTCCAAACTGCCCCTTTTGATAGCTGGTTGGTGGCAAGAGCTTCCCCTACCCCACACCCCACCTCATTCAGGATTGAGTGCTGGGCTTGGGAGGTTGCTCCCTTCTGGGTCTCCTCTTCCTCCCCGCTCTCCTAGGCCTGTTGGTGCCTCTGTCCCGTGCTCACTTCACATAGGTCTCTAGCTACTTCCTCCTCTCTTCCCTTTTCACCACTTCCTAGACCCCCTGTAGCAACTCCTTCTTTTATACAGCCCCTGCGTTACCGGTGGGGGGTGTCCAGGTTCTTGGCATCTTGAACAAAGAATAGGACAAAATGCACAAACAAAGCAAGGAAAGAATGAAGGGATTTATTGAAAATAAAGTACACTCCACAGCGTGGGGGTGGGCCAAACGCAGGGGCTCAAGGGTCCCATTACAGAACGGCGGGGAATTTACCCCCTAGAGAATTCCACTGGCTACTTGAGGTATGCCTTATGTAAATGGAGAGGATGAAGTATTCAAGCTACAAAGTCATACGCCCTGTGGAGAGGATATTTCCTGTTAGAGCTGCAGTGTGAATTGGCCATATGTTCCCTGCCTCCAGACCCTATTTTCCTGCCTTACCTTTCTGTTTTCTCAGTCACTTCCATCTGAATCTTGTAACATGTCCCTGTAGTTGGTGTTATTACTTCCCCATTTTACAGATGGGGAAACCGAGGCCTAGTGAGAAGGGTCTTGTCAATGTTACACAACTCAGGAGAGCAAAGCCACGGTGGGAACCAGAATTGTCTGACTTCCAGCTGTGTGTATCATTGTACTTGAACTTACAGCTAATAAACAATAAACTTCTGAATAAATGTGAGGAATTTAAAATATAACTTTTGTGGGGTTTTTTCTAACACAAAGGCTGTTCTTGTTTTATATAGAGCGATTTAGAAAATGGAAAATTTAGAAAAATGAAAAATTGAAGTCAGGTACAATCAATTCCAATAACATTTAAGTATCATTAAGAACGTGACTATACGACCGGGCTCAGTGGCTCATGCCTGTAATCCCAGCACTTTGGGAGGCCGAGGCGAGTGGATCACCTGAGGTCAGGAGTTCAAGATCGGCCTGACCAACATGGAGAAACCACATCTCTACTAAAAATACAAAATTAGCTGGTCGTGGTGGCTCATGCCTGTAATCCCAGCTACTAGGGAGGCTGAGGCAGGAGAATTGCTTGAACTTGGGTGGCTGAGGTTGCGGTGAGCTGAGATTGTGCCATTGCACTCCAGCCTGGGCAATAAGAGCGAAACTCTGTCTCAAAAAAATAAAGAAAGAAAGAAAAAGAATATGAAAATACTATATATGACACTTGTGCTGTGTTGTCCCACAATAATATATCAAGGACTTCTTTCCTCATTTCTCTCTCTAATATAAAATTATTTTTCTTAATTTAAGAGGAAGTGCTGTTTAGTGTCCTCAGACTTTTCTGGGGATAGATCCCATTTCGTTTATTTGTATCGTCTTCCTTTTTCTTGATCTATCTTATATTTATTTTTCTTTTTTGAAACAGGGTCTTGCTCGGTCTCCCAGGCTGGAGTACAGCTGTGCCATCATAGCTCACTGTAGCCTTGAACTCCAGGGCTCAAACGATCCTCCCCCTCTTTCCTCAGCTTCCCAAAGCACTGGGATTGCAGGTGTGAGCCACTATGCCTGGCCTGGAATATAATTATAAAAAACAGCATGGTAGTCCACAGTATAGATTTTTTTTCCCACCAGTTCTTTAAAGTGAATGTACAACCTACTTTTGACTTTTTTCTGTTAGACGTGATGCTGCAATGGACATCCTCATCCATCAGACATCGTTGTTGATGTCAGATCATTGCCTTGGGCTAGATTCACAGAAGTGGAATTGATCATGATAACAGCAGTTCAAGGGCTTGGCTGAGCTGGGGATATGGAGCTAGTTAGTGCAAAGACACGTGGTAGCTGGAAAAACACTGAGGGGATTTTTTTTGGGAGGCCACAGAACAAGTGAAGGCCTGAGACTCATCAAAGTAGGTCCAGGCTTTCTGGCTCAGTGGTTAAGGCAGCACAATGAGAGGAGAGAGAGAGAGAACGCGCGCACACACGAGCGCCCTTGGCTTGTATCTGTATGTTTTTATACTTTGCCTAAAAATATATCTTAAATTAACTTTCTTAGACAAAAGGGAGAGGCAAGCAAGAAGTTATTGGCAAGACCAGCTCCTAATACCTCAACGTGGGTTTAAGATCTCTCAAAGTCATTGAGTGGTCGGTGAAAAAGAAAGAGAGACAAGGAAAAAGTTTTCCTTAAAGCTGGGCCCAGGGAAGACACCACGTAATGCTGCTCCGTGGATGCCTGACATTCCCCTGAAAACCTCAGTTTTTTTATTGTGCTCTTTCAATGGGGGGAAGGGGGGAGCGAGGTTACGCAAAGTTTCAGTGATAATTATACAAAAGGAATACATTTGCAAAAACTGGTGTACAAAAATCACAACGTGGTATTATAAAAGCAGAACAATGTAAAGATAACTTTCTGTGTGTCAGCACAGAAATCACACACCTTAGCAAGAATAGAGGTTAAACATAAACTTATGATTATCAGCAAGAACATATTGGGCTCACAGCTGCAGAGGGAACAGGATCTGACACAGGACAACCAGCCTGACCACAAAAACTGCAAGAGGAGGGGGCTCCCTGCCGGCCTGGAGGAGCAGTGGGAGAAGAAAGACTTTTACATCCTTCTCTTCACCACAGAGACAGACGCCTCTCATGCATCGTTTATAGGCTCTCCATAAGGGTCGCATTCCTTTTCCAGGGCCATAATCAATATGCCTTTTCTGGGAAGGAATCCAGGTAATAAACCTCTCCATTACACGTCCGTTTATAGGCCCTCTGCAGCGAGACCCTCATGACGCGCTGTCATCTCTCTCCGGCAGTCAAGATACGTGGTTAGTCCTTTTCACAGAGTTCCTGTTTTTACCAGAACAGTTCAGCAGATCCAAAGTTACAAGTCACATCTCAGCAGGGCCAAAGTTACAAGTCACATCTCAGCATTTCACATTGTCCTTCATTTTCTCAAATATAATCGATACAGCAAGTAACACAAAGCAAATAACTCCTTTCGGGGAAACCAAATTCTAAGATAATTTACAGGTTAAAAATCAACAACAATTTCTTCTCATTTCGGATAGCTTGGGTTTTGCCAATTCTTCCAGAAGCTTGGGGTTGCTCAGTCACCACAGAGGGGTTCAGAGTATTCCCAACAAGAAGTGGAATTTCCTGTTGTTTTGTAGTAGTTGTATTTTTATTTCTCATTTTTTTGCTTAAATAATCGAATTGATTTTCTGGCAGCTCTGGAAACTAGAAGTCAGAGATCAAGGTTTTGGGTGAGTTGCTTGCTCTCTTCTGAGGCCTCTCTCCTTGGAGTTAGATGCCGTCTTCTCTCCATGTGTTGACGTGGTCTTTCCTCCATGTGTATCCATGTCCTCTTCTCTTCGTGGAAGAACACCAGTCATGTCTAATAGTTGTATTTGGCCAGGCACGGTGGCTCACTCCTGCTGTCCCAGCACTTTGGGAGGCTGAGGTGGGAGGATCTCTTGAGCCCAGGAGTTTGAGACCAGCCTGGGAAACATGGCAAAATCTCATCTATACAAAAAATACAAAAATTAGCAAGGCATGGTGGTGGGTGCCTACAGTCCCAGTTACTTGGGGGAGCTGAGGTGAGAGGATCGCTGGAGCCTGGGAGGTCAGGGCTGCGGTGAGCCGTGATCACACCACTGCACTCCAGCCTGGGTAACAGAGACTCTGCCTCAAAACAATGACAAAAACCCAGTTGTATTTAATAGAGACTGTCTGCAAAGCGATTTGCAAACCCTTCCTCCCTGCCTGTAGGCTGGGGCCTGATGTTTTACTGAAGTTTTATTTTAATAGAGACAAAGTATGTTGTCGGGTGGCCTCTGACTCTTAGGGGCAGGGTGGCCACTCCCAGGATTTCAGTTGTAGAGTCTGGCAGGGATTTGGCCTGGAATATGGCCTACCTTGCAAGCTATAGACTCACTCTAGCCGTGACATGAAAGTGTGCCATGGTTCTGAGCTCTGTGGACGGGTGAGAAGCGGCGGCTGCTGTGGAGTGAACACAGGAAGAGTGTGCGTGGAGCAAAGGACTTGCTGGTCCATGGACGGCTCTGGGGTGGGCTTTGGGCTGGCCCTGGGGATGTGCTGTAGGACAGTAGCAACAGTGATCATAAAGCTGTCACTTGTAGAATGTTTATCAAAGGTCACATCCATACACTTGCTATCATCTTGTCCTTCAGCAACGCTGTGACACAGGTGGTGTTTGTCTTTATTTTATAGAAAAGGAAACTGAGACTCAGAGGGGTTAAGGGCCTTGGCTCAGGCCCTACAGTCAGCAAGTTGTGGAACTGTGAGGCAGCTCTGCTGAGCCTGTATCCACAGCTCTGCTTGGATCCATCCATCACCCTCTCTCCCCTACCCCTCCAGGGAGAAGCTCGGCAATGTGGAGTCGGTTTATGTCATCGACCCTGAAGATGTGGCTCTTCTCTTTAAGTTCGAGGGCCCCAGCCCGGAACGATTCCTCATCCCGCCCTGGGTCGCCTATCACGAGTATTACCAGAGACCAGTAGGAGTCTTGTTGAAGTGAGTCCTGGGCCATCTCCCAGGGTCTGGAGGGAGGTGGTGGGGAGCTGTGGAGAGGACAGAGGCTAGGGGTGAGGGGCTGAGGCCAGGCTTCCCCTGTGCCTCCTAGCAGGGCCTCTAGGTGAATATCCGCCATTATCTTGCCTCCCTAAAACAAATGATAATGATGATGATGATGATGATGAATTGCTCCGCCAGCCTTCAGGGAAATGGTCATACTAAAGATCCTAATGAATAATTAAAGAGCTGACAAAGTTCTCAATGATTGGCTTGCTTACTGAGTCCCACCTTTCTGAGCACCCTTGATGCGTCAGGACTTGTTCCAGGAGCTGGGAATACAGTGACAAATAGAGCAGGGACCTGCCACTGTGAGTCCCATACAGGCTAAAGGGGCAGTGAGGCATTTGCCCTACATGGGGACAGATCAGTGTTTTTAACTGTAGTGGATACCGTTTTCTACCAAATTGTTCATCAATTTTTTTTTTTTTTTTTTTTTTTGAGACAGAGTTTCACTTTTGTTGCCCAGGCTAGAGTGCAATGATGCAATGCTGGCTCACTGTAACCTCTGCCTCCGGGGTTCAAGTGATTCTCCTGCCTCAGCCTCCCGAGTAGCTGGGATTACAGGCATGTGCCACTATGCCCGTCTAATTTTTTGTATTTTTAATAGAGACAGGATTTCTCCATGTTGGTCAGGCTGGCCTCGAGCTCCCAACCTTAGGTGATCCTCCTGCCTCTGCCTCCCTGGGAGACTAGGCGTGAGCCACTGTGCCTGACCCATCAATTTATTTTTATTTTTTTATTTTGAGATGGGGTTTACTGTGTCACCCAGGCTAGAGTACAGTGGTTCAATCATGGCTCACCGCAGCCTCTGCCTCCCCGGCTCAGGTGATCCTCCCACCTCAGCCTCCCACACCCAGCGTGTCACCACACCCAGCCAGGTTTTACATTTTTAGTACACATGGGATTTCGCCATTTGCCCAGGCTGGTCTTGAACTCCTGGGCTCAAGTGATCCTCCCGCTTTGGCCTCCCAAAGCGCTAGGATTATAGGCATGAGCCACCACACTCAGTCCATCAAAAATGTAAAATGTGGATGGGTGCACACACCCGTAAAATGTGGGGTGGGGTGCAGTAGCTCATGCCTGTAATCCCAGCACTTTGGGAGGCCAAGGAGGACAGATTGCTTGAGCTTAGGAGTTCAAGACCACCCTGGGCCACACAGTAAGAGCCCATCTCTACAAAAAATAAAAAATTAGCTGGATGTGGTGACATGTGCCTGTGGTCCCAGCTATTTGCGAGGCTGAGGCCAGAGACTTGCTGGAGCTCAGGAAGCAGAGATTGCTGTAAGCAGAGATCACACTACTGCACTTTTGAAACAGATCCTGTCTCAAAAGAAAAAAGGTAAAATGCAACCATATCAAGTGTTGAGGCTACAGAACAGCTGGAGCTCTCATCTGTTGCTGGTGGGAGTGTAAACTGGAGCCACTACTTTGGAAAATGACTGGACATTTTGACTTCAGGGATATATTCCAAAGAATATCCCTGATTTGAGGGATGTGTAATAGAATGTTTGCAGTAGTACTGTTCATGATATTAAAAACCAGAAAGCTACTTAAATGCCCAATAGGTTTGTAAGTGAGTGAACTGTAGTACACACCAGTCAAAATGAAGGGTCTCGGTGTCCCACAGCAATATGGATGATACTTAGAACGATACAACTAAGTGGAAAAAGCAAGTCTGACAAAGCATGACAGTTTTTTATTTTATTTTATTTTTTTTGAGATGGAGTCTCGCTCTGTCAAGTGTGTTGGAGTGCAATGGCATGGTATCAGCTCACTGCAACCTCCACCTCCCTGGTTCAAGTGATTCTTCTGACTCAGCCTCCTGAGTAGCTGGGATAACAGGCGCCCACCACCACACCCAGCTAAATTTTGTGTTTTTAATAGAGACAGCGTTTCACCAGGTTAGCCAGGCTGGTCTCAAACTCCTGACCTCAGGTGATCCACCTGCCTTGACCTCCCCAAGTGCTGGGATTATAGGCGTGAGCCACTGTCCCTGGCCAACAGCTTTTTAAAAGAAGTTAAAAACAAGTATATATTTTATAATAGTAACTTTTAGGAATAAATGGAGATCAGATCAAATTAGACACAGACAGGAGCAAGGGATTGTGGTGGGTGGTCTCCTTAGAAGCGAACCAAGGATGTGAAAGGACCAGTGTAAGTTACTGTCAAGTTCCTAGTTTTCGTGGTGGGTGGTAAGTTTACGATAACATTCTTACCAAGTCACGAAGAGGATTTTGCATGGATTGATTTTCAAGAGTGTGCCATGGCCCGGCGCGGTGGCTCGTCCTTATAATCCCAGCACTTTGGGAGGCCGAGGTGGGCAGATCACAAGGTGAGGAGATCGAGACCATCCTGGCTAACATGGCGAAACCCCGTCTCTACTAAAAATAAAAAACAAAAAATTAGCCAGGCATGTAGTCTCAGCTACTCGGGAGGCTGAGGCAGGAGAATCACTTTAACCTGAAAGGTGGAGTTTGCAGTGAGCTGAGATCACATCACTGCACTCCAGCCTGGGCGACAGAGCGAGACTCTGTCTTAAAAAAAAAAAAAAAAAGGAATGTACCATGAATTGAGGTTTATTAGGACCAACCCAGTTCTGGACACCTGAGGTCCTCCAACAGAAGGGAATAATGGGATGTGTAGGGGGTGCAGAAGACGAGAAGCTGGTCAATTTCGTTTGTGCAAGAGTCAGAAAATGTTATACGGGGGGGACCTGGAGTGTCAAAGGTGAGCGTCAGCCAGGAGAAAGTGGGGGGTGGGAGGGTGGCATGAAAGGCCTGCCTGCAGCTGAGGCAAAGAGCCTGAAAGTTACGCAAAGAGTTCTGAGAATGTCCGTTCCCCGCTCTCAGCGGAGCTGGTAGAGGGGAGTTGGGTTTTGTTCCCCTTCACTTTCTTTTTTCCTTTCTCTTCTCCCAGCCAGGCAGAGCAGGGAGGAGGTGAGAGGCAGAGGGCACTGGGAGAGGTGAGGGCAGGGGCCCTGGTGGGAATGCTGGATGCTGTGAGCTGTGACTCAGCTTCCTGGGAAAACTGAGTCAGTCCCCTCTGTGTTCGCCAGGCCTGGGGTCTGTGACTATGAGAGCTTATGGGCCCATGTTTTCGCAGGAAGTCGGCAGCCTGGAAGAGAGACCGACTGGCCCTGAACCAGGAGGTGATGGTTCCAGAGACCACCAAGAACTTTGTTCCCCTGTTGGATGCAGTGTCTCGGGACTTTGTCAGTGTCCTGCACAGGCGCATCAAGAAGGCGGGCTCTGGAAATTTCTCAGGGGATATCAGTGATGACCTGTTCCGATTTGCCTTTGAGTGTAAGGGGCTTGCACCCGGCTTGCAGTGGGCATGGGGGTGGGTGTTCACTCTCTTACCTTCAGGTTCAGCACCGACCTTGCAGAGGTACTGAGATTGGCTTCTGGGATGAGCTTCTGACCACACCCTCCATTGCCAGCTACCCAGACGCAATTTAAGACCACCCTTGGCAACAGAGTGAGACCCCTCGCTCTGGGGTTCCCTCACCTGGCATTCTCTCTCATCTGGCATTTGTGCTGTAGGAGCAATGGTCCCCAACATACAGGACGCTATTGCCACCATCCTCCAAATCCAGAGCTTGGCTTGGCCCTTCATTCTGCAAGTCTCCACCTCCCGGGACATAGACCTCTGAAGTCGGATAGGGTAGAGGAGAGTTCAGTGGTTCATCTGAGGTGGGCATTGAAGAATCTGTAGGAGTTATCTAGATGGGGTAAGGAAGTCAGGCAGTAGAGGTAGAGGGAACAGCACATGTAAAGGCCCCATGGCTTGATGAAGATCGTGTGGTCACAGCAAGAAACTGAGGTACCCAGAGCTTTGTATGAAAACAGTATTCAAATTCCTCACCTGATAGGTGGGGAGAACTTGAGGCTGTTGTAACTTCTTAGGTCCAGCAAGACTAGGTCCGGGATGGTTAATTATCCAGGGCCTTATGACCCTCAGCCTCCTTTCTGATCTGTTTCAGGAAGTATTTAGCCAATTCAGCCAATTACAGATGAGGAATTTCTCCTGGTGGAAGTATGGTCAGAGCAGTTGCATCCTGGGCTAGGCCCTCTCCTAGCTGTGCCAGAGACCTTGCTTCCCACCTTTCAGGTCTTCCACATGCCCTTCTGCGGAACCTACGTGGTTTCCAGAGGCCAGCTTTCTCAGCCTTGCATCTTAGCCCTTTAGGACTCAGGCCTCAATTTCTTTACTGAAGGAGGCTGAGGGTAGGGGCAAGAGACGCTTCATGCTGAGGGAGATGAGGGTGGAGGAGTCCCTGTGGGTTGTGGCTCTCAGATGGCCCTGCTGGAAGTGGCTTCTCGGCCTCTGCCTCTCCCTGCAGCCATCACTAATGTCATTTTTGGGGAGCGCCAGGGGATGCTGGAGGAGGTAGTGGACCCCGAGGCCCAGCAGTTCATCAATGCCATCTACCAGATGTTCCACACCAGCGCCCCCATGCTCAACCTCCCCCCAGACCTGTTCCGTCTGTTTAGGACCAAGATCTGGAAGGACCATGTGGCCGCGTGGGACACGATTTTCAATAAAGGTGAGGGCTCCTCGGGCAGCGCTCTCCTCCTGGGAGCCCCAGGCCTCAGCCAGCCCCTTTGTCCCAAGCTATGTCAATGAGCGCTGACTTGACATGCAGGCAACGCACATGGTGGTGGGCAGGCGTGGGTGTCAGGAAGGCCCTGGGACCCCTGGAAATGGCAGGCGGAAGGCTGGCTGGCTGTTGGGGATTATTAGATTTTTCTGGAAAAAGAAGAGCGAAGACGGCTGTGATCTTCAAAGGAGCTCATGCTCCCCAGAGGGTGGAGGGCCGGTGTCTGAGCCATGGCTGTGCTGGATGACAGGGACTTGGGGAAGGGTGGGTGGAGTAGGCTGGTCAGGATATGGCAGAGTCAGATCCCACCTCTGCCCTTTATGCCTACGTGACCTTGGGCAAGTGACTATCTCTCTCTGCATCTGTTATCTGTGAAATGGGGATGATGTCATATATCCCAAGAATTCAATGACAAAACAGGTCTGAAGGGCTTAGTACAGAGTAAGTGCTCAGTAAAACGGCAGCATAAGAAGCACAGGGCTCCAGAATCCCCAGGCCCTTGGTGCCACCTCTCACCACAGACTGCCCTCCTTCCTGCCCACCTGCAGGGAACCTCACTCTTTTTTCTTTCCCCCTGACCCACAGCTGAGGCATACACCCAGAACTTCACCCGGGAATTGAGACAGAAAGGAAAGGTTGACCACAATTACCGTGGCATCCTCTATAGACTCCTGGGAGACAGCAGGCTGCCCTTCGAGGACATCAAGGCCAACGTCACGGAGATGCTGGCAGGAGGTGTGGACACGGTGAGGTGGCTGTAGGGGCAGCACCTTGTTCCCCCTGTGCCCACGTGCCCCTCTTTGTCTAAAACCCTGTTGCCACGGGGGCCCTACCCATGTAGGATATGTCTCCCTCCCCACTGCTATTTCTTAAGTGCTAATCTCTTAGGAAGGTGAGGTCAAAGTCAAGTCACCCTGGGCATGATTTGAAGCCGATCAGCCATTTTTCTTTGCCTGTGAGAGAGGAGTGGCCAGGCATGGTGGCAAGGCCCAGGCTCCAAGCGGAGTCTCTATAGGAGGAGATCCCCTCTGGATGCTCACTCCGTCAGAGCTCTGCTGATGGAGGCCAACACCCCCAGCTCCTGGGGGAGAACACGCTCACTCAAATCCGGGGAAGCAGGCAGGAGCCTGGAAACACTGGGAGGCCGGGGCATTTGCTGTGGGCTCTGCCGTCCAGGGTCTTTTTGCTGTCCTCCCTCCTCCCCCTTCCAGCCCCCAGTACCCTACGCTGCCCCCAAGGCCCAGAGGCATCCCTTGTGCTCCCTCCACAGCAGCATGGCACCCCAGAAACATCTTTTTCTGGATGTTAAGAATGATTAGTCCTGTGTGATATCCCATTTTCCAATTTTAAAAGTTTTTATTATACTTTAAGTTCTGGGGTACATGTGCAGAACATGCAGGATTGTTACATAGGTATACACATGCCATGGTGGTTTGCTGCATCCATCCCCCTGTCATCTACATTAGGTATTTCTCCTAATGCTATCCCTCCCCAATCCTCCCACCTCCTGCTATCCCTCCCCTAGACCCCTACCCCCATCCCCGACAGGATGATGTTCCCCTCCCTATGTCTGTGTGTTCCCATTGTTCAATACCCACTTGTGAAATTTTTAAAGCTTCCGCATGCTAATGTGGTGGTGGAGTTGTTTAGTATTTACTGACTAGTTAAGGCTTAGGCACTGGGCTGTAAAAGGGAAGAATACAATGTCCTCACATGGCTCAGAGGGGAGGGGTGTCCTGGCTTGCTAGGGCCGCTGTAACCAAATCCCACAGACTGGGGGGCTTAAACGACAGACATTTATTTTCTCACAGTTCTGGAGGCTGGATGTCCAAGGTCGAGGTGTTGGCAGGGTTGGTGCATTCTAAGGCGTCTCTCCTTGGCTTGTAGATGGCCGTCTTCTCCCTCTCGCTCGCTTGGGCTTCCCTCTGTGTCTGTGTCAGAATCATCTCAGTTCATGAAGACACTAGTCAGTCAGGATTGGATTGTGATCCTCCTCGAGGACTTCATTTTACTTTAAAATCCTTAAAGGTTCTATCTCCAAAGACAGTCACATTCTGAGGTTCTGAGGTTAGGACTTCAACAGATGAATTTTGGGAGGGGCTATACCATTCAGCTTGTGACAGGGAGGCCGCGATGCCAACGGAGGGGTGGCACCCTGCAATGACGGAGGCAAGCGGCCTCCACTGGACAAGCCGAGATGTGGAGACTGACTCACATGGCTGTGAAGGACACAGAGAAGGCTCCACAGAGGGCCTAAAATTCTTGCAGGCTGCTGCCAGGAGGAGAGAGGAGAAATAGCGTTTCAGGAGCAGGGAGAAGCACATGTCAAGCCCCTTGGGTGAATCACTTTCATCCCAGGTATTAGATCTGTGTAACACTCTGATAAAGGGGTTTTGGTCCCTGGGACCAGGCTGCAGATGGAGGCTCTGAGCATACCTTAAACATAGTTCATTGTCTATTATGCAGAAGAGATCTTCAAAAATCACTCACCTGCACCAAAGAAATGATTACTGTGAGGTAACATTTATTAAGCACATGCTGTACGGCTGGCAGGGTTCTAAGCTGTTTACATATGTTACCTCATTTAATACTCACAAACAACCCTCTAAGGTATGTTACCATCATCCCCCGTTTTCAGATGAGGAAGCTGGAGCACAGAGAGGTTAAATAACTTGGTCAAGGTCACACAGCTAGTAACATAGCTTATCAAATCCCAAGTACCTCTCTACGGCAGACCTTGGCAGTACTGAGATGAAAACACACATATGGTTGGAGTCTGGCAGAGGGAGCACATCCTTGCTTCTTAGGAGGGGAAGGGAATTCCAGGAAGAGGACCTAGCATGGGGAAGACTTCAGGGCTTTGGGGGCTGTGTGCCACTCCATGTGGCTGGAACATTAGGTGCGTGTTGGAGAGAAGTGGGGAGTGGGGGATGGGGGAGCAGCAGGCAGGTGTTGAGGGGCCCTGTGGCTCAGGCCTGAGACTCTGCATTTCATCTGGAGGCTCTGGGGAGCCAGGCAAGGATTTTAAGCTGAGAAGGAGCTGTGTGACAGCTTGTCATTGTTGCCCCTGCCAGGAGGAGAGAGGAGGGTGTCTAAGTCCCTTGGACAAAATATGATCCTTGGTAAGATAATGTGTCAGCAACCCATGTCCTAGTCCCCAGGAGGGAGGGATGCTCCAGGCTAGGGTCCCAAACGGGCCTGGTTTGTCATCATTGAGGAATTTGATGAGGGTCACTCAGATTTCTGGCGAAGGGCTAGTGGTCACAACCTCTGGCTTATATTGAGATTAGCTGATTAATTTCAACACACACCACACACCAATTGCAACACTGATAGGAAACATCTGGCCGGTCCAGTTTCAGCATCTTTGAGCCTTACTTGAAGCCATGCTGTTACAGGCGAATGCTAAGGTTTTGGGAAGTTCTATTGGAGAGAGGGGTGGCTGTTTAACAAGGCATTTCAAAAGGAATAACATTCATTCTGAAGTGCAATCATGACAGAAGGATTTGGCCTCTAAGGGCCTCTGGAATTCTTTGGAAGAAGGCGTTGGCTGTGTAGCTGACACTGTACTGGCTGGGGAGATGGGTGGGTTTTTGGCAACATGAGGGATGAGGGCAGGGACAAGTGCTGCCCCAAGCATTCCTGCCTGGCCAGCAAGAAAGGCTTGTTGGACATTTCCTGTTTAAACAATGGAATGTGTTTTGCTTTTGCAGAGGATAGTCTTGGAGACTGGGATGGGGTGGGGGAAGGAGAGGTTCTTGGAAATGAAAATTTAGCATGAAGTCAAGGACCTCAAGGAGCCCTGGAGTGACAGGCCCTCTGGTCTTCTGTACGCCCTACTCCCCACCAGACATCCATGACCCTGCAGTGGCACTTGTACGAGATGGCACGCAACCTGAAGGTGCAGGATATGCTGCGGGCAGAGGTTTTGGCCGCCCGGCGCCAGGCCCAGGGCGACACGGCCACAATGCTGCAGCTGGTGCCACTCCTGAAAGCCAGCATCAAGGAGACTCTGAGGCAAGCCCACAACCACCCATACCACCCCCAACTGCAGTCCCTGGGCAAGGCCAGGGAAGTGACTGGGGCAAGGGGTTAGGAGGATGGGCTGGTGGAGGAGGTTGGAAGCAGGAAGGGAAAAGTCTGGAGGAGAAAGGAAATAGAACCAGGGCCCTACTCTGGCATGAGTGCCATGCAGGGTGTGGGGCTCGGGGGCTGCGACCAGCCTTCGGGGCCATCAGCTTCTGAGTGCCCTTCTCCTGCAGACTCCACCCCATCTCCGTGACCCTGCAGAGATATCTTGTAAATGATCTGGTTCTTCGAGATTACATGATTCCTGCCAAGGTAGGTGCAGCCAGCGGGCTGCAGGCTCTGCCAGTCAGAGAGGGCTGGAGCAGGCTGCAATTGCAAACAGAGGGTGGCGCTGGGGCCCTGGTGGGGCCCTTGATGGCAGCAGTCTCAGTCTGAGTGAAGGGCAGAGGTGGTGGGCCTGGTGGGCGGTGACCTCTAGGATGTTATTGGAAACCAGGGTTAAGTGGAAGACTTCACGTTTTGCCTGGGTCTGAGGAAAGGGTGGAACGATCACCCTAGCCTTGTGTCTTCTGCCGTCCCCATTTGGTGGGTAAGGATCATAGAGGGATGGGGCCTTGTTCGAGGCTGCACAGTGGGCAGAATGTCCTGCCCTGGAGAGCTGGGCAGCTATTCTGGGGAGTGGGAGTGGTGGTGAGAGGGCAGGGGACTGGGGAAGGGGGTGTTGTGCTCAGGGCTGTGGGGAGGCAGGGCCTACTCAGGCCTCTGATCACCTTGCCCCAGACACTGGTGCAGGTGTCCCTCTATGCTCTGGGCCGAGAGCCCACCTTCTTCTTCGACCCGGAAAATTTTGACCCAACTCGATGGCTGAGCAAAGATAAGAACGTCACTCACTTCCGGAACTTGGGCTTTGGCTGGGGTGTGCGGCAGTGTCTGGGACGGCGGATCGCCGAGCTGGAGATGACCATCTTCCTCATCAATGTGAGTCAAGCTGGGGACATCTGGGCACCCTGGGCTGGCCCTGGCCCCAATGACGGCACCAACCTTCCTTCTCCTATCTGTCCAAAGCCCAAGGAGGTCAGGGCTGGGGCACATCTACCTGCAGTTACTTGCTCTGACTCTCTCCCACAATTCCTGGCTGCCCCTCTTTGAGGCTCAACCACTCAGCACCCACTGTTGCCCATGGTGGTGATGGGATGGGACAGGGCTGAGGTGTATAGAGGAGTTACGGTCTAGGCCTAAATTGAGGGAACGGAGCGCTAGGGTGCATTATCGGCACTGTGCAGGGTTACACGAGGACCGCTCCTCACATCACACTTCACGGGCACTGCCTATGGGCGAGTGGGCCTGGCCAGGGAGACAGATCCTCCTCTGCACCCCCCCAAACATACCATCGGCCTTTCTCAGATGCTGGAGAACTTCAGAGTTGAAATCCAACATCTCAGTGATGTAGGCACCACATTCAACCTCATCCTGATGCCTGAAAAGCCCATCTCCTTCACCTTCTGGCCCTTTAACCAGGAAGCAACCCAGGAGTGATCAGCAAGGATGGCCTGCAGCCGTGTGGGAGGAAACCCCAGGGGGTGGGGCCCACAGGGTCTCTGCATCTTCAGTCCTCTGTCCTCAGCCCTGCTCCTTTCTGCCCAGCCTGCTGAGCAGGTAGGGTGGGATCTCAGTGGTCACCTTCCTCAGCTCAGCTGGGCCGCTCCTCTTCACCCACCCCATGGAGACAATAAACAGTGAACCGTGTAGTGTCTTTCGTTCTGTCAGACTCATTAGGTGCTCATCACTCCCATGGAGGTGCTCCCTGGGTTAAAGCAGGATCTGGGGCATGCTCGGGGGACCCAGGCAGCCACACTGGAAGCCACCTCTGCTGGTACCCACTCATCCATGGCAGCTCGGGAGCCAGCAGGACCAACTCCAGGCTACCCAGGGCAAGGGGTGAGGCAGAGTGGGGTGGAGGAGGGGAGGGACTGCCACTGTGCCAGGAGCTACAGAAGCGTCAGGGAGAGGGACAAAGGAGAACTGGGGAGTTCTGTGGAGAGAACAGAGTGGCCCCAAGAGGCGTGGCCTAGTCCTGCCTTTCTAGGTGGACCTGCCCCGCAGGGGTAAGGCTGGCACAGGGCTCTGGTTGGGTGAATCCTGGGTGGGAGTTCCCTGTGGGGCATGAGGACTTCCTGCCAAGGCCCAGCCAGAGTCCTGGGCATGGCTAAGGCCGAGACCTGTGGGTGAGAACCCCTGCTACTGAAGGGCTGGTGTGAGGTCACTGACCGGGGACAAGAGGCCAGCCTGCTTCCTCTACCCCTCCGGGGCCTCCTCTGGACTTGCTCCAGGCCTCATCTTCTTGCTCTGGGGGCTTGTACCCCTTGTCCAAGGGCAGGAGGTAGGAAGGCTACTCTGCAGCAGAGCCGTTGATTGTTATTTGAACTGAATGACACTGGTCTGGATTTCCACCCCTTCATCACTCGGGGTCTCACAGCTTCTGACCTGACTCCTCTAAGCCCTCAGATATCCAGGTCCAAGTCCCACAGGCAGGTGGGGGAGCTTGTCCAGCTGAGGCCAGTGGTCCAGCTGGTCTGGCCTCTCCTGCCGGGAGCTGCAGGATCTGGGTCCACCCTTGGAGCCCTTCTGCTTTCCCCACCACGCAATCCTCTTCCCTGTTGTCTTTCTCTGTCCTTCCTGTGCCCCTTTTCTTCTACAGTTCTGAGTCAGCTTTGACTCAGAAATGTTACAGCCAAAGAGGTCAAGCTCTGCCTGGAACAGATGGGGAAACTGAAGCCCAGAGAGGCTGCTTGGGTTCCTTGAGGTCACACAGTATGCTTGCTCCCAGAACCCAGGCCTCCTAATTCCCAGTGGGTACCTCCTTCCCCTGGCCCCATCTGCTCTCCTGCCCTCGCTACATTGGGACACATCATTGCCAGCTCAGCCTAGTGGCTTAATGGGGTATTTCACAATGATATGTAACTGCCACAGGAAGGCTTCAAGTCCTCAAGTCTTTCCCTTTCCAAGAGACAGACAAACCAAGCTTGAAAGAAGGAATGTCAGACATGATAGATGTTTTGGAGCAGATGAAAAAGACAAGCCTCCCTCATATCTTCCAACAGAGCTGGTCTCTGGTGGCCTTGCTTCTTCTGGGGGTCTGGAAGACGCCTGTCTCCCTGGCCCTGCTTTGGAAGGCCTCTTCTTTCCACCCTCCTGGGTCCACTGTGGCCTTTGGCTTTCCAAAGATGCTGGCTCCAGGGGCAGGCAGGAGGCTGTAAGGTTGCAGCCGAAGGCCCAGGCCCAGGCCCAGAGTGGGGGTCTAGAGGCAGGAAGCAGGGCGCCCAGGCTGCCCTGCTCCAGGAAAGACACAAATGCTCACAGAGCTACAGCGTTTAATCAAGTCATTTTTAGGGGGCGGGGATGAGACTCCCTAGCACACAGCGAAGGAGGGCTGCTCCGGGGCTCAGGTCTGCTGAGAGTTAGTGGTCTCCTCCTGGGGGGTCGACTGCCTGTTGAGCTTATTGTCAGAGCTGGGCAGCAGGGGCTCCAGCTTTGAGGGCTGCTTGAGGTCCTTGGAGTGGGTGGGGGCATTCTGTGGTGTGCAAAGTAGGCTGCATGAGTACCCCCCGTTCCCAGCGGGTGACCTGCTCAAGGGCATATTGCCTGACAAACCAGGCCTCAGATCCAGAGCCCACTGGGTCATGCCTGCAAAGTTTTCTAAACCCATTTCGCCATATTGACACCTACTTTCTCCAGCAGTCCCCAGCGCTCGGGTGAGTGTGTAAAGGTAGCCTTTGCTCCTTGCCTATTTCCTCATCCTTTCCAGGCCTTTCCCTGAGCTCTGGCCATGGGCAAAGCACAGCTGGCTCAAGAGCAGAAGTCAGGGTCTTTGCTTTGTGGGGCTGGGCAGCCCCGGGGTTGAACTTGAGGGGCCGTTGTGAGCAGGCCTGTTTGTTCTTGGGAAGTCGGCAAAGTGGAGCCTACATCGTGGCCACCTAACAAGGGTGTGCTAATTTCTGAGGCTCTGTGGAGTCAGGGAGGTAGGGCCGCAAGCTGCCCTGCCCATGCGTGCAGCCAGTTCTAAAGCACACTCAGAGCCAGGGCATCCCAGAAATGCCCGTGTGGCCCCTCATCCACCGTCATCTCCTTGAGTTTTGAGATGACGAAGGGGAAGGGGTGGTCTTGGCAGGGGTTTTCTGTTCTACTCAGACAGTGGGGGACTTGAGACCAAGCCTTCGGTTGGAAACAGAGCGGGAATAGGAGCCTAGGACTTCTGACTCCCAACCCCGGATTTGGCCCCACAGTGGTTTTCTCAGGGCCCAGTGACTTTGGAGGTGGGGTGGCTGCCTGCTCCACCACCTGAACCCCCAGGAGCCTCTCCAGGGGGGTCACTCACAGGCTGTCCTATGATGATGGAGTTCGAGGGATGCCTGAAACCATTTTCTTGTTCCTGCAGCCGTGTGGCTAGATCCTGCTTCTCTCGTCCCCAGCGTCGAGCTGAGTCCTCTAACTGCAGGCATAGAGAGGAATAATTGGAGGATCATGGGCAGCAGGGCTAATCCCTGATGGCCAGGACAACCAGGGCCTGAGCCTGCTGTCCAGGCAGAACCCAAAGCTCTGGGTCATGTGGGCTTGACACCTTTCCAAGAGACCTCGGGGTGGCAGGGGTGAGGGTGAGGGGGCCAGATAGTCAGGCAGCCTGACCAAGACACAGATGGACATTTCAACAACGTACTGAGCCTTGATCCTGAGTCCACACTGATCCCTGATTCTGGTCATAGACAGCCTGACCCTGGTCACACACTGAGCCCTGATCCTGGTCACACACTGAGCCCTGACCCTGGTCACACACTAACCCTGACCCTGGTCACACACTGAGCCCTGACCCTGGATACACACTGAACTCTGACCCTGGTCACACACTGAACCCTGACCCTGGTCACACACTGAACCCTGACCCTGGACACACACTGAACCCTGACCCTGGTCACACACTGAACCCTGACCCTGGACACACACTGATCCCTGACTCCGATCACACACTAACCCTGACCCTGGACACACACTAACCCTGTCCCTGATCACACACTGAACCCTGACCTTCATCACACGCTAACCCTGACCCTGGTCACACACTGGGTCCTGACCCTGGACACACACTAACCCTGACCCTGGTCACACACTCAGCCCTGACCCTGGACACACACTGAGCCCTGACCCTGGTCACACACTAAGCCCTGACCCTGGTCACACACTAAGCCCTGACCCTGGACACATACTGAGCACTGATCCTGGTCACACACTGAGCCCTGACCCTGGTCACACACTAACCCTGACCTTGGTCACACACTAAGCCCTGACCCTGGACACACACTGAGCACTGATCCTGGTCAAACACTGAGCCCTGACCCTGGACACAGACTGAACCCTCCCTGACTCTGGTCACACACTGAACCCTGACCCTGTTGCACATTGAGCCCTGACCCTGGTCACACACTAAGCCTTGATCCTGGTCATAGACTGAGCCTAGACCCTGCTCACATACTGAGCCCTGGTCACAGGCTGTGTGGTGAGCCTGATCCAGCCTCATCAACCCCTGCATCTCACCCACCTGGCTTTCGAGGGACAGGATCCGGCTCTGAGCTCGTTCTAGCTTGGCCAGGAGGTTAAACTTGTCTGAAGTATCAGAGAGGAGATCCTGTGGGCAAAGCAGAAACTCAAGTTTGGCCCTAGCTGAGGGCTGTGGCTGGTGTGAGGTCAGGAAACTGTAAAGTATTGGGGCAGAAACCAGTCAGTTCTGAGTTCAGACTGAGCTCCCGAGGCAGAGCCTCAGACCTGGGCCGAACCGTCTTCTGGAAGTTCAGAGCAGGGTCTGGCATGTGCTTTTTTCGTGGCTGTTTCCTGCACAGATTTTGGGAATGTGAAGTTTTGACACAACAATGTTTTAATGTAAAATGCATTTGGGAGCCTCTGGGTGAGGTGAAGAAGCTGTGAAGCAGCTGACCTCATCCCTCACACTTTACCTGGATGTCCATATGGCAGGTGGGCTTTCAAACAGAACTTACCTCCAGCGAGTCCTGGGATGGAGAGAAAATCCTCCTGTGTCCCCACCCTGCTCAATCTTCTGTGATTCCAAATGTTCTGCCTTTGGGTTTATGTAAAGCAGGGGGCACCTGAGGCAGCCTCAGAGGTGGAGCAGGGCCTGGGCGTTTCTGGGCCCTGGGCCACCCACCTGTGCGGGCAGCGTCTGTGTGCACCTGGAGTGGCCTGGGCCATGCATCTCTTGCAGCCTCTCTGCCAAGTCTCCTCCTGCTCCCAACTCCCCGGGGTCCACCTGGGATGGAAAAGGGCTCTCCAAGGCTGCACCAAGACCAGGGAATCTCTGCTCCAGAAGGGAGTTTTGAGAGGCCTGTGTAGGGTCCAGGTGGAGGCCAGCCAGGTGGCAAAGGGGTCAAGGTTCAGGGGCCAAGGGTCAACAACTGGCTTGCTTTATCCTGGGATGCTAGATGAGGGTAAAAGTGAAGAGTTGGGGTACACACATTTCTCAGGAGAAAAAGAGCAAGGCCGGAGAGCTGATTCCAGGAGCCTCCAGGCAGACTGGAGACCCTGGGAGGCCTAGCTCTTGGTCTTGATCTTCAACTTGGGTTGTACTGTGGGTGATCGCTGGGCACCTGGTGACCAGCACTGGCAGGCCCAGGCCAAGGGCTTCTTACCGGCAGGGCCTGCTGCTGCAAAATGATCGGGGCTGGCTGGTGGCGGTTCTTATCCAGCTCCGCCCGCAGCTTCGCATTTTCTGCCAGCAGCGCAGAGTAAAGTTCAAGCGGCAGGTTCTCTGTCGTAGAACCTAGGGGCAGGCCAGAGGCTGAGAGCCCAGGGAAGCCTAGAGATACAGCCACAGATGTTGGGGAGATGGGCTCTCCTGCCTCCCACATCCCTGTGCTGACCTGCCCCAGCATTTTACTTCAATCTGCCACCCCTCCCCTCTGCTCCCAAGCCTTCAATGGCTCCGAACTGCCAGCTGGATCAGGTGCACACAGGCTTTAGACTCTGACCCAACCTTCTTGCTAACTCCTCGTTTGTCTTTGGTGTATTTCAGCCCCTCACTTCTCTCTCTTCCTCCCTTCTCTGTTCCTGGCATTCTCCTGACTCCCTGGGCCTTTGATCTGGCTGTTTCCCCTCCGTAGGTTGCCTCCTTAGTTTCATCCAGACTCCTGGATGACCTCAGGCTTCCTAAAAGGCCAGCCCAACTTTCATTGCTTTCTAAAGGTCCCTAGAAACACCCTCCTGCCCCTGAAACCCTCAGCAGTGAAGGCTAAGCACAGGGCTGGGCACACAGGGGCCCTGGTGAGGTTGTACAGACAGGCTCAGGGAAATCCCTTGCTTTGGGCTGGCCTGATAGGTGTCACCTGGTCCTTTCTGCTCATCAGTGCCTGACTGGCAGCTTTAGGTGGCTTTTGGTTAATATCAATGGAGAAGAAAACCCCCAAATCATTTATTTATTTATTTATTTTGAGACAGAGTCTCCCTCTGTTACGCAGGCTGGAGTGCAGTGGTGCAATCTTGGCTCACTGCAAACTCTGCCTCCCAGGCTCAAGCGATTCTCATGCCTCAGCCTCTCAAGTAGCTGAGACTACAGGCACATACCACGCCCAGCTAATTTTTGCAATTTTAGTAGAGATGGGGATTCACCATGTTGGTCAAGCTGGTCTTGAACTCCTGACCTCAAGTGATCCGCCCACCTTGGCCTCCCAAAATGCTGGGATTATAGGCATGAACCACCATGCCTGGCCCTCCCTGCTTGTTTGCTTTGCAGAGGCAGAATCTTTGGAGATATGGGGAGATGAAATAATTCGACAGATTCTGGGGTTAGGAGCTGGGAAGTGTTGCCCCAAACGGCCCTTCTGGGGAAGCCCCTCTCTGCTGTTCTAGTCTGCAGGGCCCTCCTCTGGAGGTCCAGCCGCCTTCTAGCCTGGCTCACACTGTATCCCACCTGTGTTCTGAGGGGCTTCTAGGGAAGGAGGGAGCTCAGGGGATCTCTGGATGAGGCTCCTGAAAGAGGAGGGGAGCAGTACAATCCTGGGTCTCCCAGGCCCGCAGATGTAACTGAGTACAGGGGCCCTCTTTGCAGGTTCCCCTGAAGCTGAGAGGCTCCAGGAAAGCAAAGCCTCCAGGGTTGGGGCGAAGCCGGGGAGCTGATCACATCAGGGTGTGGACCCACCTGTGCTGGGCTTTCCTGGCTGCCTGTTTAGAGGTGGGGGCTTGCTCCTGTCCCGCAGCCTGTCTTCCAGCACCTGCTCCATCTTCTCGATCACCTGGAGGGCAGAGCAGAGGCTGGGCTGGACCCGGGGCTCCCTACCCTGCCGACATCGGTGGGCCTCCGGGACAGCCCCTCTGGCACCTGCCTTCTCCTGGTGCCACACGGTCTCCTCCAGCGCCTTCATCTTCTGCACCTTGCCCTGGTACTGCTTCAGCAGTGCAGCCTGTGGCTGCTGAGCCTGATATAGGAGGAGCAGCTCCTTCTCTTGATCATTCTTCTGTGAGACGGGGGAGGGGGGAACGGGAGAGAATGGGTGCCTGGGAGCCCACCTTGGCCCCTCTGCTAAGTCCTCCACCGGGCTGGCCCCCCTCTCTTCTATGCCTCCATTCCCTCTGTGCCTGTTCTCCCTTCTCCTCCCCGACTCTTCTCATCCTGATGCCCCCCACCATAGCTCCCTCCCCTCTGCCCCCCCACAAGCCCCGGCTCACTCGAATCAGCTCATTCTGCAAATGCTGCACCCTGTCCCTCAGTTTCTTCATATCCAGCTCACTCAGCAGCAGTTTCTGCTTCACGGACACTGTCGGGTGAGGAGGTGAGCCAGCTCAGGGAGGAAGCAGCCTCTCCCAGCTCAAATCAGCATGGTCAGTAGCGGGAAGGCACATAGTCCTCGGCCCCAGGGCTCGGGACAGGATTGGATTCTGCGTTTGCCATCGCTGAGAGGACCCAGCTGGGCAGGGGCTGTGTGAGTGTCTGTGAGCGTGGGGCTCCTATTTGCCAGAGTCCAGTAGCATGCGTGTCTGGGAAAAGCTCCCCACCTCCCTGTTGCACCACCGGGAGTCTGCGCCCAGGCAGATGCCCCAGTGCCCGTGGTGGCCTGCACACCCTCACCCGTGTGCCGGGCCTCACTGGCTTTGCCCTGGCCGTCTTCCTCCTGCTGGGCCAGGTGGCTCCTCAGTATGCGGTTCTCTCTTTCCAGGATGCTGGCCTGTCTCCGCAGCGACAGGATGTCCTCTGCCATCCTCTGCATGGCCTGCCGGTAGTAGTTCATATCCTGTGGATCCCAGAGCCCAGAGCTGAGCCCACTGCCCCATAGCAACCCTGGTCCCACATCCACACCCACACTTGAAAGTCAGCAGGTCTCCACCAAGGCCAGTGAACAGCAGGAGCCCCACGCCATGGCCCTAAGTCTTAGCAGCTCCCTGGAGGGGTGGTTATGACTTGATCCTCACCCATCCTGGCCATGTGAGGGCAGCCACACTAATGTTCTCTCCAGGGGGGGCCACATCAAGTCCTGTGATACCAACACAGGGAGAAACCCCAGGTGTGGACACACGGGAGGAGGCCTATGGGCAATGGAGACTTGAGAAGATCCAGGGCCAGGTTTGCCGGGTCCGGCTCAATCATAGACGTTTCTTCACCTTTTCCCTCCCCCTCCCCACCTTCCTATTTATTTATTTATTTTTTGAGACTCTTGCTCTGTCACCCAGGCTGGAGTGCAGTGGCACGATCTTGGCTCACTGCAACCTCTGTCCCCTGTTTAAGTAATTCTCCCGCCTCAGCCTCCTGAGTAGCTGGGATTACAGGCACTTGCCATCACACCCAGCTAATTTTTTGTATTTTTAGTGGAGACAGGTTGGCCAGGCTGGTCTCGAACTCCTGGCCTCGTGATCCACCCTCCTCGGCCTCCCAAAGTGCTGGGATTACAAGCGTGAGCCACCATGCCCGGCCCTCCATCCCCACTCTTCTAATGCCTCTCATTCCTCACTTCACTGAGAAGCCAGGGAAGAACCTCTCAGAAATCCCACTGATGCCACTTGGAAGGTGACTGGGCACCAGCTCCCCAACCAGCCCAGGAGTCAGAAGACGACCCAAGTTCGCCCCAGGAGACCCAGGCTAGAACTCAGGGTGGAGGCTGGGATCCAGCTCCAGGATGTGGGGTGTCAGGTGGGGACGGGGAGACTGGAGTCAGCTGTGAGGTCAGGAACAGCAGCAGTCCTGAGGTCTGACGCTGACTGAGCGTTTGCTGCGTTCCAGGCTTTCTTTTAAGCGTTTTACGCGCCCTCCCTCAGTCAGTCCTCTTATCAGCCCTGCGAGGATAGGTACTATTATCCCCGTTCTACCAATGCGGAAACCAAGGCCCAGAGAGGCCTTGAGCCACTTGCTCGGTTACGAAACTGAGGAGTGATAGACCAGGGTGTGAAATCCAGGCCTGCAGGGACTCGAGTCTGTGTTCTGAAGGGCCCTACCATCCTGCCATGAGACCTCCAGACATGGACGCTTCACAATATGCTGAGAAGTGATCAAAGCAGGCTACAAACAGGAATTATCAGTACAATCCCCAAATGAGAGAAAAATTCATGCCTACCCATGTATAAATATATAGGAAAATTAATAGGCTATATTTATATGCATTTGTTTGATAATCAGAAATTTCCTACTGTTATTTATAAAAAGTTTTGTAAAGGGAGTTTCTTTCTTTTTTCTTTCTTTTTTTTTTTTTTTTTTGAGACAGAGTCTTGCTCTGTCACCCAGGCTGGAGTGTAGCTGTGTGATCTCGGCTCACTGCAGCCTTCGCCACCCAAGTTCAAGCAATTCTCTGCCTCAGCCTCCTGAGTAGCTGGGATTGCAGGCACCTGACATCATGCCCGGCTAATTTTTGTATTTTTAGTAGAGACGGGGTTTCACCATGTTGGCTAGGCTGGTCTTGAACTCCTGGCCTCAGGTGATCTGCCCGCCTCGGCCCCCCAAAGTGCTGGGATTACAGGCATGAGCCACTGCGCCCAGCCAAAGGCAGTTTTCTTTAAATCTGAACCATAGAAAATAGAAAAGGAGGTCCCAAATGTGAAGTCAGAAGGGTCTGGATGGAGGAGCAGCAGGCCGGAGCTGGGATGGGGGAGGAAATGGGCATGGGGAAGTGAGTTTGCTGAGGAGTTTGCTAAGCCCTGGTGGCTTGTGGACTTCCCAAAGCTGTGGGAGGCTGTGTACAAACGGGTGGGTGCTCACGTCTCCAGGAAGCAGAGCTCTGCCTCCAGCTCCCACGTGGGCCTCATGCTGACTGCGGAGACCGCCCACCTTCTCCGCCACTGCCTCCCACCTGCTACATGGCAGGCCGTGGTTTCTAGAGCAGGGGCTCCCCCGGCAGCAGGGGCCCACCAGACACCACTTGTCACCTGCCCCTGTCCAGCCTCCTGGCTGGGCTCCCTCTAATTGCACCAGTGCCAGGTCCCTCTCCCCAGCACCTGCCCCTGTCGAATCCCAGGTCTTGGCTCCTCCAGATCTGCCCATCTGGTGTCCTCAGACAGCATTGTTAACAGAGAGACTCTGTCTAGAGACCACACACACACACACACACACACACACACACACACACACAGAGCTTTGCAGTCAGCCCCAGATCAGCAGGCCAGCTTGGCCACTCACATGCAGTGTGAGCTCAGCTAGGCCCCTTCACCTTTCTGAGCCTGAGTCCTCGTACAGAGATGCCTGGCTTTGCTGTGAGGCTGAGTTGGTGCATGAAGCCCCAGCCCAGGCAGATATAATTTGGAGGATGCTGTTCTCCTCCACACCTGTTTCTATTCTAATCACTGCTTTAATCAACAGGTCAGACCCCTTCCTCTTCCTCCTTGCTGCCCTGTGAGCTCCCAGGCGCCTCCTTTGCTGTGCTCTAAATCTTCAATTTATGGCAGCCTGTGACTGAGGGGGAACCGACCGGAGAAAGCACATGATATTTTGGCAAAGGAAATTTGGCCCCTTCTTTCTTTGCCCAGCCTGGTTCAAGCTCTTAATATGCCTGCCCTGGACAATTACAGCAGCATCCAAAAGGGTTTTCTTGGGTTCCAGGGTTATCTCCTACAGAAACACGCACACACACATCCAGGAAAACAGGGGCAGGGATACCCGCTTCAGCACAGCTTGTGGTCTTCTACAAGGGCGTGCTCAGTCTCTGGGCCACAGGCTGTGGTCACAAAGGATGACCTAGATTTAATTGTACTGACACACAGAGATGGTCGTGCTCTATTGTGAAAGGAACGTGCACGTGGCAGATGAATATGATCCTGTCTGTAACTGGGCTGTGTGCGTGCTCATGGAGGGAGTCCTGGGGGAAGGGGCTGCCAGCTCCTCAGCCCACCCCATGGGTCTGATCACCCCCTCTTCTCATTCAGAGGGTCATCTTTCTAAGACCTTCCTGTTCTCCAACTCAGCTGTTTTGAGGCATGAGCAGAGCTCTGTTATTTTTTCTGTTTTGTGACGGAGTCTCACTCCGTCACCCAGGCTGGAGTGCAGTGGTGTGATCTCGGCTTACTGCAACCTCTGCCTTCCTGGTTCAAGCCATTCTCTGGCCTCAGCCTCCCAAGTAGCTGGGACTACAGATGTGCACCACAGTGCCCAGCTAATTTTTGTATTTTTAGTAGTGATGGGTTTTCACCATGTTGGTCAGGCTGGTTTTGAACTCCTGACCTCAGGTGATCTGCCCGCCTCAGCCTCCTGAAGTGCTGGGATTATAGGCATGATCCACCGCTCCTGGCCCAGAGCTCTGTTATTAACAACCTGCCTTGACTGACAAAGAAAGCTGGGACCCAGAGTGAGGAAGGAGGTGGAGGGAGAGCATAGCTTTGTCCCTGCCTCCGCCCGATGGTCCCTGTTGGACTCCACTCCTCGGACGCTAGTCCTATAGGCCTCCACAGGTGCCTATCCCCCTCCTCCATCCAGCCTAGCTGCTCTGAGAGTGAGGACTCCCCCAGGGCATGAAGAGGGGTCCAGGCCCTGGCTTACCGATCAGTCTCTGTCCTCTCCCAGTGCTCTACATCTGTGGGAACCTGAAGGACATGCATTCCCTCCTCGGCTTCCCCCACCCACACAGCAGCAACCTTGGGCAGCTCAGCTGGGCTGGGAGGTTACTGCCTGAAGATGGGCAGCCCTGACCCTCCCCACAGCCTGCAGCTGAGCCTCCCCAGCCCCCAGGGCCATGCTCGGCATCACAGCCGAGCCTTGAGAACACAAAGGACACCATGGCCCAGATTCCTGTTGCAGTCTTGCGGCCTCCCCTCCTCCAATGCCTTCCCTCCAGCCCCTCCCCACTTGCCAGTGTGCTGGGGGAGGGGCAGGCACCAGCCGCTTCCCTGTCTTGTCTCTGAGCTGAGCCTCCTCTAGAAGGGCCGACTCCAAAGCCATTGCGCCTGACCCTAGTGCCCACTGCGTTCTCCTTACCCACTGACACCGCCCTTTCCCCAGCCGAGACCCAGCTCTCAGAGCCTGCCCAGGTGGGAAATGCGAGGTGGCCCTGGGTCTGAATTGCCTAAGCTGGAGGGGGCTTGTGGCAAGACCCCTCTTGCTGCTCAAGATGGAGGGGGAAATGAATGGAGGCCCAGAGCAGGGACCCAGGTGAGACCCAACGGGACCCTTGCTGGACGCGGACCAAGGAGGACTCAGCGTGGCAGAATGAAGTGAGCAAGGAAGAGGAGGAGGGTCGGGGATGAGGAGGGTAGCCTGCGGTCTTCGGGAAGAGGGGCATGCCTGCAGTGGGGAGGAAGAGAAGGTGGGGGAGGACTGGGAGGAGGAATGGGAGGAGCCTGGGACCTTTTGGTGGAGGTGCATTCCTGGAGTGGGAAGGAGGAATGAGGGGGGAGGGGGAGGCGGGGGGGAAGGAGAGGAGGAGAAGAGGAGCCTGGGGTCTTTGGGTAGAGGCGGTGCAGGTCTGGAGTGGGAAGGAGGGGGAGCTGGGAGTGGGGAGGATGGTGTTAGGGGTCAGGTACCTGTAGGGCCTCAGGTGAGGTGGCCAGCAGTAGCTGATGGTGATCCAGCCTGCAGTGAACCCTGGCGGGAGACAGTGGGTGGCCGGACAGGCCTGGTTCCACTGGAGCCTTGGGAAGGGAGCAGATTTTCAGAGTCTGGGCAGTGTGAGTGAGGAGGGGCTTCAAGGACAAGGGGCGGTAGGAGATGGGCTCTCCAGACTAGGGCAATTGCCAGAGAGGTAGGAGGAACGGCGGTGAGAGCAGGCTGGCAAGGCCAAGGCTGCAGAGGGCTTCAAAAGAGGGGCGACCACCTTTCGCC